CTTTCTATCCCCAAAAATGTTACTTTCGAAAAACCTACTAGGAACCCCTGAACTAACCCCTACGCCCCTTGCTAGGCATCCATTCTGAGTCTGACTCATCATCACCGGAGTCTGAACTCCCATGATCCGATGGCTCCTCCGAAGACTCCGGTTCCGCCTCAATCACAATCGGATGATCAATGTCACCTGACTCAGCTGGAGCAGCGTTCTGATACTCCTCAGCCAGAAAATCGAAGAAATTATACTCAGGCACGTAATTGGGATCCATATATTCCTCAAACGGGAGTATATACTCCGGGTCTCCTGCCGGCTCATTCGACTCCTCAGACTCGACCTCAGGCTCTACCTCGGGCTCCACTTCTTCGGGTTCCTCCTCGTCTGGTTCCTCCTCGTCTGGTTCATCCTCGGGGATTGGTTCTAAATCTATGTCCATCGGGTCATCCTCAGCTTGCGATGCTTCGGGCTCGGGCTCATACTCAGCCTCCGAAGATCCCTGAGCGGTTGGTGCTGGATGCATCCCAGACTGCGCTACGCTAACCTCCGTACTGGTCAACTCTCCATCAATCGGGGGTATAGCAGTCGGGTCCCAATCCCCAACTAAATCGAATGGAACATCGAATCCTCTAACAGGCCCGAACTCAGCCCCGTTAGCATCTCGGAAGAACCAGGCACTGTACTTATGCTCTTCCCAAAGAGGCAAACCTACATCTATAAACACGGTAGAAGTGTGCTTAATCCAGGTCATCCCATCTCCCATCGGAAATTCTATAGCGTCAACCTCGGTGTGCACTGGGACTCCAAAACGTTCTGGTGGCGGCGGTGGAGGATTCATGGTTCCTGTCGGGGTTCTGAAATTGTCGGTTGAAATAACCGTGAGAACACTTCTCAGCAAGTTCACCCCTAAACCCCACCTAGGCTATCACGTACCTCTAGACAATCACCCAAACACACAATCACACACATACCATCATCACATAGCAGGTACATCAACACAATCACAAGCATGCACAATTCTCATGTCATGCACTCGTTCCGTTCTCATCATATCTCCTCCACATTCCTCGCCAGTGACCAGCATAAACATACACGCCTCAGGTACACTGCGACCTCGTTCTCATCATATCCCATTCACATTCCTCGCCAGTGACCCGCGTACACGTACACGCCTCGGGTACACCGCGACATCTTTCCACAACACTTCCGGGCCCGCGTAAACGTACACGCCTCGGGCCATGTTTCTTGCCGCGTAAACGTACACGCCTCGGGCTCAACACCTACCACCTACTGCGTAGCCCGCGTTGAAGTACACGCCTCAGGCTAGCAGTCTTCCGGTAATACCGAGCATCGTCTCGCGTAAACGTACACGTCTCAGGACGGCACAATTTCCACGAATCCATATCACGCCACATTTCCTTCTCACTCAAGCACATGCTCAACAAGCATTTACCACACACAACTGGCCAATCACACGTGGCCCGTGCACGCATCAATTACACACAATCCCATGCTCACTCAGCATTCAACACGGCCCATAATAATAATTAAAATAATCTGGCCCACGCGTGCACCCAACAACCATAATTAACTCAACCAATCGCACAATCACACATTTAATTTCACCATCCCAACTCAATTATATTCCAAACGCACAATAAACACAGAAATTGCTATTTTTCTCTAACCAAACGACGTCAAATCGATTCCGGTCCTTCACGGGACTTTCTCACCAGAAATTCTCCATTCTAAAAATCCAACTTGCGTCCCGATCGGCCCATCACGGCCCCGTGAACAGTAGATCACAGCCACTGTTATTTTCTAATTTCCAATAAATAATGCCCGAATTAAATCCCAAGGCCCGCCATAAAATTTCCACTCCCTATTCATGCAATTCCGCACCTAACTTTTACCAGATTTCGCCCAAAAATCGCCCGTCGATACCCGACGTCCTAAATTGGGTTTAGAGCGCCACTTACCCGCATTCTAGGCTATCGCGGCTAGAACGGAAAGCGGTGGCACTTAATCGGGAATGGCGGCGACGACGTACAGCTCCCGGGTGGCGGCGATCGACTTGGGTGGCGACGGCGCGGCTTGGGCGGTGGCCGGTGAGGCTCACGGCCAAAGGGGAAACCGAGAGGGAGAGAGAGAGAACGGCGGGATGGGGGCGGCGTGAGGGGTGCGAGGCGGCGGGGCGGTGATCGGCAAAGAGAGAGAGAGAGTATACGGTGGGGGGGGGAGCTCACGGCAAGGGGGGAAAAATTCACGGGGGAGAGAGGGGAAAGAGAGAGGAGAGAGAGAAAGGGGGGTCAAGGGCTTATATCCAATTTTGACTAATTTTTGGTAATTTACCAAAATACCCTTGCCCTTTAAAACATGCCCTTTGATAAATCTCAAGGGTAAAATGATCCGATTCTCCGTTTCTCATCAAAATCAAGTTTTTCTGAAGGATTCGGGCACAACAAAAATTGCACGTTACATCCGCAACGTCGTCCTAACTTCCCGTTGTGACTTCCAAATTTTCCGGTGTCCAATTTGGGCTGAATTAAATAATTCAATTCTATTAAACGTAACTCGAGTGTTTCTCAAACTAACGGGTGGCTTGTTGGGGAAATTCACTTATTCGACCCGTGACTGACACTAAATCGAGTCACGTGCAATTTATTCAGACCGTCACGACTTCGGTTGTCAATAAAATCGCGAGGATCAATTACTAGATCCGTGGGGCACGATCGTTTGGTATATATTCAGGATCGTTCGTCAATTCATTTCGTGGTCCAGCGGTATCACCCGCGATCCACTACTGTGACAGTGGCGAATTGACCCCTGACTATCCTTAGATCGGTCAACAGTGGCTCAAAATATCACCTCGACAATTTAATGGTCGAAAGTCAATTCACGATCGAATTTTATTTAGTCATACGAATTTAATTTTCCCGATTAGCCTTTCCCTAATGGTGAGCATCCCAGGAATGATCAGTTCCGGGCGAGAACTAACTACGAGTATATTCATAAAATTCAGTATTTTACAAATCCCAAATGGACTATTTTTCAGGATGTCCCAAGTTCGTGCTGCTTTCTCGCCAGTAATCGTCCTTCAACAAATATTAGAATGTAGTTGGACGCAACAGTCGATTCTTTTCAAACAAGGTACGAAGCTTTTCGAGGCAAACATATAGATTTAGCTAAAAAATTAATTTCTGAGTGTTTAGGACACAGAGCTGAGCTTGTGAGATTCTAGGTGGGATTCAATTCTACTTCTTTGTTCGTAAAATTGACCCGATGTTTCGTTGGGTCACGATAGCAGCTCTCTCTATCTTGCCTATCATCTTCATAGACCCGTTGTTGTTCACTTTCTTCTTGGACTTGGTTTGTTGTTACGATAAATGAAGTAAAATATCGCGATTGATAATTGATAACAAAAGGTTGTTCAGGGATCATCATCAATCTTTGTACTTGCTGATGTGATGCAATCGATCGATTCACAGGTACGGCCTTCCGTTCGTCTTGAAAAAGAGAAATTCATCAACTCGTGAAATGCAAAGCTAAGGAGACAAACTAGCACAAGGTCCTAAAGGAAGGTTGAATTTGTGAAGGAGAGAGTCCAACCAAAATCAACATGAAAAACAGAGAGGCACCTTTTTCCAAGAAAAGGAGAACCCACCTAAAACACCGAACAAGAAATGCAAAACCTCCAAACAAGAAGTGAGCTTGGGAGATTCTAGGGGGGGTTCAATTCAAGTGTACAACAAGGTCCTGTAACGCGAGTGTTAAAAGACGATGTCACTAATGCTATATAATCTAAACCTGCTCATCTACTTGTTTGTTTATCAAATTGAGTCGATGTTTCATCGGGTCACATTAGCAATTTTCTCTATCTTGCCCAACATCTCCATAGACCCGTCGTTTGTTCACTTTCCTCTTGGGCTTGGTTTGTTGTTACGATAAATGGAGTAAAATATCAGCCGCATTGCCCTAAGCCCATATCCAAAATCATTGCGTATTTGCCAAATCCCTCTGCCAAAGAAATTTATCCTAAACTTTTTTCCCTCATATTCATAATGTTTTGAAACGACGCCCTAATCCACCCAAATCAATCACCACATCTCGATTCTCATGAGTTTCTTTTTCGATTTTTTTTTCTATACAAATTGGAGATTGACTTGGATGTGCGTGAACTTGAGATAGCAGCATATAATGAAGATAAAATAATATGAGATGCGAAGTATACTTTAGGTGTGCACTTGATGTGCACGGGATGCGATTGATAGTTGACAATAAAAGGTTGTTCGGTGATCACCATCAATCTGTTTACTTACCGATGTGAGGCAATCGATCGATTCACATGTACGGCCTTCCATTCGTCTCGAAAAAGAGAAATTCATCAACCGTGAAATGCCAAACCAAGAAGACAAACTTGTACAAGTTCTTAAGAGGAAGGTTGAATTTGTGAAGGAGACAGTCCAACCAAATTGAACATGACAAACAGAGAGAGCCCTTTTCCAACAAAGCAAGAATCCACCTGAAATACCTAACAAGAAATGCAAAACCTCGGTTTTTTTTTTTTTTCTCTTCTCGAGCGGTTGCTTGCAAAAACAATGAAAAGCTGCAGGCGAGATACTGCTTCGAGTTCAAGAATCGTCGAGGAAGAAGGTGATGTATGAGAGATCATGGGAAATCGTGGAGAGGGAGATGAGAAATTTTTGGGTTTATATAGAGATCTGATATAAGATAAAGGTCTGGACAAAATCGCTCTGCACGGGGGACAATTCGTGGCCTTCATTTTGTGAACTTTAAATGAAACGCATCGGTTAAAAATCCGAGAAAAGCTAAAGAAGATCCACCACGTTTTTCTTGTTACTGCTGAAGGAATTGAACTCCCACGAACCGATCCCACACGTTCCCGGTCCTCCTCTTTCCACCGTGGTTTGGATTGCGCAGATCGAACTACAGACGCGTATTATTCGTTTTCGTAAAGCTTTGGAATTTGGAAGTACTCTGATCAGTTGTATGTGCATTCTCACATCACCTTCTTATATAAACTGTGCAAAACAACAAACACATATAGCCACTGCATTATCCGATGCAATCACGAAACAAACATGCCATTCTGGTGAGATTCTAGATGGGGATCAATTCAAGTGTACATGAGGGTGATGTGATGCGAGAGTCAAAAGACGACAGTCACTAATGCAATATCATCTAAACCTGCTCATCTACTTGTTTGTTCATCAGATTGAGCTGATGCTTCACCGGGTCACGGTCGGCAGCTTTCTCTGTCTCGCCAATCATCTCCATAGAGCCGTCGTTGTTCACTTTCTTCTTGGGCTCGCCTTTGTTGTTATGATAAATGGCATACAATATCAGCTGCATTGCCCCAAGCCCACATCCAAACCCATTGGGTACCTGCCAAATCCCACCATCCCAAAATCCTCAAGTTCATCGTAATTTTGAGACGACGGCCTAATCTACCAAAATCAATCACAGCATCTCCATAATCATGAATTTCTTTTTTGACTTGAATAGGCAAGAACGTACCATCTAAAAATTTGATTTTTTGTTTCAGGAAGATTGTTGAATGGTTTATAAACAGACAGATTTTGGCTAAAAATGGCCTTAGAGATATTGACCAGAGAGTGCTTACAGCGACGAATGGGTCACGGCCAAGGAGGCCATAGATGAACCAGGAAGTGCCACATAAGAACACGAACAGGGACAAGAAGAAGGGCATGTACTCCACGCTCTTTGTCTTGATCACCAGCCTCTGCACGTCACAAACACAAGTGGAGAATACGTTGAATCAGCAGCTTATAGCTTTAGAATCGGAATTTTTTTGGAATTTTTGTGGAGTCTCTTTCATCAATAATCCCCCGTACAATCTAGGAAAAAAAAAATATTTTCTTAAAAATGTTCCATATGGTTTTACCAGATTAGTATAATTGGTATCCTAATTTTTCCCATCAATGGTAAGTATCACATGGTGCTAGAGCTTACCATGATCGACAGGGGTGAAGCGTACATGATGATGGAAAAGACGGTGGCGGCGACGCCGCAGAAGAGCTTCCTTGCTTTACCGTGGAGAGCGAAGAGGGACACGAAGGCGATGATGGAGAACACGGTGAGCACAAACGTGAGGAGGCCCAGGATCTTGGCCTTCTCCTTCCTCGGGGCGTAGATGAGGAAGATCACGACGTACACGGACTCGATCGCGGCGCCGGTGCCGTTGATCGTCGACACCAAGAGGTTGTTCGGCGACACGAACGGAAGGCCGTACCTGCGACTCGATCGGTCGCATCACATCGATGAGTTAAAAACTCAAAGTCCATTTTCATTTCATTCAAAACATTCAAGTACTAGAGAAATAATAAATGGACACTGCATCCTGCACCAGATTTTAACTCTAGAGAAGAAAATGAGTTTTAGAGATGCATGACATGAAACAGAAACACGCTCCGCAAGGGTCTAATCTAAAGAGGAGTTATCATTGCATTAAGTAATTGAAGACAACAGAGGGCATGAGACAAAATCCAAAACCCTTGATAATTGCGTGGCTCCACCCGCAACCAACTGTAGATGCATGATGGACCCAACACAATTCACGAGTAACTTCTACTATAGATGGCACCAGAAATGCAATAAATTAATGCCTAGAGTTGGTAAAATATACAGCAGAGAAAGTGGAAGGGAAGTTGGTAGAAGAAAGAGAAGGCACAAGAAGAGTACCAAGCAGAAAGCAAGCAGTTAAGGAGGGTCATGACATAGGGAATGCCTGAGAACTCCTCCGTAGACCTGCTCTTTATGATCCTTTTGAATGTTATCCTGTATCATCATCACCCACGACAATTTCATCTTGCTATTGATTGTATCAACCCGAAAAGAAGAAGAAGCGAACAGAAAAAATAAGAAGCAAGAGGTTTCAATCTAAACTTTTGAAATTCAACTTAGAAAGGAAGAAGTCCTTCCCTGTTCCAGTTATGTACCCAAGTTTAAGCAGATATTTGCATACGGAGAGTTTGAGAAAAGAAGAAGGAACAGCATATTCTCTGCCGAACAATGAAAGACTTGATGTTTAGTGGGATTTGCAGGGGTTACTCACGTCGGCGACAAGAAGAGGAACAGAGCAGTGGCGTTTCCTGTAAATGAAGGGAACCAGAGAAAGATAAACTCATCAACTTGTGAAGTGCAAAACCAAGAACACGAGTTCCTAAAAAAGAAAGGTTGAATTTGTGAAGGAGAAAGACCGAATTCAACATGAAAAACAGATAGAGAGAGCCCTTCTTCCAAGAAAAGGAGAACCCACCAAAAATACCGAACAAGAAATGCAGAACATCCATTTCTTCTTTTCGTCTCGAGCAGTTGCTTGCAAAAACAATGAAAAGCCCCTAGATGAAGAACCGCTTCAAGTTCAAGAACCGTGGAGAAAGAAGGCGATGCACGAGGGATCGTGGTGAGGGAGATAGAGGAGTTTTTGGGTTTATATAGAAGTCCGGATATAAGAAAAAGTTGGCAACTAGCTCACTTTTATTTAGTTTTCTCCTTCATATTTCTCACTTTCGTTTCATTTTCGTTCTTATCCATTGGCTCGAGAAAGGGGAGAGGGATAACTCCTTCAAAACTCTCTCTGTTACTGTAAAATCGACTTGGCTTGACGTTACAGGGGGCACAACTTCAAGTAACACGTGAAAGAGTTTTCCTCTTTGTTTATTCTTTCCTTTCGCATTTCTCTTTAAATAAACTTTGCCGAGGAGGCAGGTCATGCAGGTGAAGCAAGAGTAATGGCGTGGCCGATCTTTCCCCGTTCGCACTGGCAAAGGAAAGTCAACAAGGGCATTGAGATTGAGGTCTCCGTCCAGATAAGAACTTTGCTTTTTCTGATGTGGGCGAGCATTCTTTTGAAGGGTTGTCATCGCTCATGGCTCATTCTGAAGCAGGTCCTCTTTGCTGGCAATGCCGATACGAATTAATGCATTTAGAACGCTCCTTTTCTTCTCGCATTCAGGAGCCGGACAAAGCGTCTATGAAGACTCAGACAGCACAGATTTAAGCAGGCATAGAATGTGCAATTTTCCGGGTCGAAATACTCAGTTCTGTGTTGAAACACTTGACCAAGAGAAAGTAGTGGGCGGTTTTAACTTTCGATGTGAAGGTAACCGTAGAAAACTACATGTGAGACAAATGACAATTTGACCGACTAATAAATAGATCGCTATGTGTTATCGCCGAACCAATCATAGCTCTCCATTTTCTCGACATGAAAGCACCGACTTTTTCAAGTTTGGACATGCGAAGAGGCGTGATCGATTTGGGCGCAAGATATATTCTCGCAATTACAAGCATAGAATCGTTTGCCCTTGTTAGTTTTGTGATGGATCGGTCACCGTGAGTCTAATTCTTTGATCACATATATGTCTATAACCCGGTAACAGGCCTAGTTAAAATTTGAGTTCTTTGTATTGATTTCTGCATAGGACGCTCAACATGAACTTAGTCCTCTTACCAAAGAATTTGAAATACGATTCGTTCACTATGGCGTGTAATTTTCTTAGATTAGCTACATAATGATTTAAGGTGTCACGAACTCACAGTCACATGACTTGTACTCTCTTCCTTTGTTCTTTCCTTTTCAATTCTAGTACTATCCATCCAAATGTTGAAGAAAACTATATTTACTCGACGATCTTAAAGGCGCAATCTTGACTAATTAAATGCAATATATGTTGTGTGTTAGCAATCATGCAGATGGCTTTGCTCAGACACCACCATATGAGAGCTAAAATGTTGCGTAACGCAGAAGGAAATAGTCTCTTACAAATTCTCCAGTCTCAAACTCTCGATGTAGATGGCCTGTCTTCATAAGATCAGAATGAGTGAGCACAAAATTTGATGGTTTTAAAATTTCGCATGACCACAGCATGAAAAGAAAAAAGAAAGAAAGTTAGTTAAATGATCTGAATTTCTAACTCTAACAAGAAAACTAACGTGCAATCGACAAATTCAATAACTCTTTCACCTCAAAAAAGGCTAAAATACAAATGGCCCGTGATCGAGCAGCAATAGTTGGCATTGATTTCGGAAATCCTTGGGGGCATTTTGGTTCATTCGAATCTAATCGAATGCTTATTATCAGCACGTGAGAGTTTGAGTTTCACATGCAAAAGCATTGAATAATCCCACTGCGTGCAATTAGTATAACCCTAGAATTTCGAAGCCTAAACGTTTCAAACTTCACGAGAGAAAAACATAGAAAGCTTGGAATTTCATCAAGGGGCTAGGGCTACACCAATCCGGCATCAACCCCGGGTGGAATGAGTGTTAGTCTTAATTTCCATATGATTAGTTTATATTTTCGTTCCATGATTCGAGCCAGGAATAATGCCGGATGTAATATTAACGTCCGGAAGAAGTATGGTCTATATAGCATGACAGTCCCTATTAAGTACAAGGGCAATAACAAGTTTCAAAATCCGAATCCTTTAAGTACATAATCTAAAAATATTAGGGTTAATACCACGAAAAACCTCAAACTGATATACCTGTGACAAATTTACCCCAAACGAATTTTTTGACCACAAAAAACCTCAAAACGGTACACCTGTGACAATTTTACCCCAAACTAATTTTTTGATCACAAAAAATTCGAAGCTAATTTTTTTATCATAAAAAATCTCAAACTGGTACACTTATAACAAATATACCCTTTGTTAAATTAGATTAATACCACGAAAAACCATACGTTGATAAATATGTGGCAAACAGAGGGGTAAAATCATAAACTGATACACTCGTCAACTGCCACGTATCATCTAACTAGGCAATTTGACGGTAAAACTTAATGAAAACTGATGAAGGGTAAATTTGTCACAGATGCACCAATTTGGAGGTTTGGTTTAGAGTAAATTTATCACAAGTGTACCAATTTGGAATTTTTTGTAGTATTAACCCAAAATATCAATTGACAAAAGTATGTAATTTTCATATTCAGTCGAAAATGTTGATAACCAAGGACTACAAACACGAGAAGAGATGAAGAAGGAATCTTAGATGTCACGTAGACGAAGATTTCTTGTGGCTAAGGCATAATAATGTAGAATATATTCGATCATGATCACCACTAATTAAAGACAAAACATTGGAATTGAGAAAAGCAGAGGGTTTCAATTGCACACGTACACGCATCGAGCGTTTAGGTAAGAAGAGCATCGCAACGTCACCCTACCTAGCTTGAGTATGGTCAAGAATAATTAGGGGTGGGCTAAATTGAAGAACGATTGTCACGTGATTGGACCATCTAAATTGAGATGCGTGGAGCGACCTTTGCCGTGATTCAATTGCCAAGCACTATGACAACAAGATGTACCTACTCAAACTACTACTAGTATTATTATCGTCGTTACCACTGTCGTCGTCGTCGTCTGATTTTCCGCTCTTCTCGGGACTAATCTTGGTCTGCATGAGGGATAATATACGTGTTAGTTCGCTAACGTGGTACATGTGTAGAGAGCTTTGCTTTTCCTCTATCCTCCCTAGGGTTTTCTCCTCTCTCTTATCTTCACACAATTTTCTTCTTCAACCTCCATGGAGGTGAGGGTTTGAGCTAGATCTCTCACTCCCCTCCAATTTTTTTCCTTTTTCTTTGACTGATTTGATTCTCTGTTATCTTTTTCTTGCTTTCCTCACGTTTTGCAAAACTTTTCTCTTTTGATCTAGTTTAGATTCGGAAGTTTCTCTCTTCCGTTTCGGAAGTTTCTATCTTGATCTAGTTTAGATTTGGAAATTTTTGCATGTATGATTTTGAGGTTTAGCTTTCCTCGAGTTTCGTTGGTGTACAAGTCTAGTTTCAAAGGAGATTGGATGAGTTTTGTGAAGATTTCGCTCTCACAGGTGACATATATGTGCTCGTTTAACTTTGTTACCTTGAACGGCGATAATGTCGGAAACACCGAACCTATGTACGCATAGCCGAAAGACAAAGCCGTAACAACAGATGGAGATCTGGGGTGCTCGTTATTAGAAAAACAGATTTGGTGATCGGTCGCCAATTTTGGTACGAAGAAGCCACAGATTTTGCTCTTTGAGCAAGTGAACCTTGTTATAGTAATTCATCTTGTTATCTGGAACTTGTTTTGTTTTAAAGTTGTTTAGGATTTGTTTTGGTTTGCAATTGGACTGCATTATTTTTCTCTTATATTTTCATGGAAACGAATGAAATGTTACTTTGATGATTTTTTAAAAATGTTTCACATGCACTGTTTTGGTACGTCCATCATGGAAACAAGATGAACTAATTTTGTCAGTAAAGACCATCCCAAAATTTTTCAGACAGCGGACGTTTGATGTTGAAATTACACCATCAAGTAAGCCAAGAATTTACTTTCGACAGAGATCACGGGATGTATATTTCATTTTAATTTCCGCAAGGTTTATTGTTCGTACGCTCTGTTTGTGGCACAAGATTCTAGGGATTTTGAAGCATATAGGGTGGGCGCATAAGGTTTTGGCCTGAATTTAGCGGTCGAATTGGAGGCGTTTCCCATGTAATGAAGACAGAAGAATGCTTCAGAAAATTGGCACTCTAAACTATGATATATCAGTGTGCTGCGGGTCCTCAAATCCTTAAGAAAGACCCAAGAATTCGAGTTCTGGGAGATGTGGCTGATTTCTTTGTGTCCTAAATAGTTTTTTACTCATAATTTAAGCAGGAATGATTGAACAAAATCCATGAATTCGATAAGCTCGATCGAGGTCGAAAAGAGATGCATTTGTCGGATTAGGCAAAGTTTTGTCAGCGTGGCCGTCATCAAGTTTGACCCGCGTATCTAAAAAGACATGACATATTGAACCGATCCGGCTTGCATTACGGAACGGATAATTCTTGCGTGATGATCCGTCACAATCTATTCCGCATTTGAAATGAATGTAAAATGTTCTCATCTATCTATAATTTGACTTTTTTTTAAGCACGTCACTCTTGTATACATGAACTTATTTCTGCATACTCCGTTGCCATGTGGTGCATTCGATGCACGAAGAACTTTTTCATAGTCCATAGCCGAAGAGGTTCTATCAAATCTATTTTTTTAGCATTAATTGTTCATAAACCTAACTTAACTTTCTTATCAAATATGTGGGGTTCCCGATTTGACCAGCTTTGCTTGTTCCTTGCATTGCAGGACAATGAAATCCCTGCATGTTCAACTCAGCTTATTCACATTTGGAAATTTAGAGTAATTTCTGCATGTTCCTTGTCGATATTGGAAAAAAAAAATACTCGTGTTTTCTTCAATTATTACTGATATTGTCAAGTTTTAGGTCAAAGAACACAATTTTATTTTATCCTTCAACTGCGCTTTTCTGCACACACATATATCATCAGTAGATTATATTGAAAATTAATTAAGTAAATATCGTACATCACTTGGAAATTCTATAACCGAAGTCCTTCTTCTAACTGGCTATAACATCA